AGCACCCTGTAGCGCTTCCCAGAGGGGAGGATGGCAAACAGTCTGTGGCTGGGGTGAGAGCTGTGATGGCAAAGTGAAGCTTTCTGAACCAGTGAAGCTTTCCAGCCAATTGTATCGGAAAAAGGTTCATTCATTCAATGCATTGCAAACTCTATAATGACCTCTGCTGTTGAAAACTTGTAGTGCAAATGTATCGAATAGCCTACCAGTATATTTTGGTCCAATCTCTGATTATGAAAAGTTGAACCAATAAATCATCTAATAAATACATTCCTATATGAATAAAACTATTGTATTTCAGGGTCTAATTTTGTCCTTGTTTGTGTATTTCAATTCTCTGTACATTGGCAAGAAGTGGAACAAACACATCTATGTCTCTCTGCACCTTTGTGCATGTATGTTTGTGATCATCAGCAGAATTAATAGAAGAGACATATATGACTTATATGTGAGAAATATAATTTGCTTCCTACTGGATGTGCAGTTCATGGCAGTCATCCTTTTACTTATGTGAATTGTTTGAATCTGGAAAGTGATTTACAGAGGAAAGGTCAGTGGGGCAGTGCTTTTGGACAGGTTTCTTATGACAGGATATGAGGTGCTTGTGGACACATGGGATGGGGCATGAAATTATTATTGATTTTTATTGAGAAACACAATTTTCTCCACAGTATTGGGGTTGAGTCGGTTTATTTTTGTAGATACTATTTCCCCTAGAAAAAATGTTCTCACACGGCACGGATGAGGCAGGAATGCTCATAAGACTACGTGCTAATACAAATAGATGTGGGTACACAGTTTTTATTATTTTAGCGGATCTTCACTTCGCAATACAAATGACAGACTTTGCCTGCCTATTACCAACCTTGTTAGAGGAAATCAAATTGAAGTGCTCCCACATCTCGGGGCGACCTCTCTTTGCCACAGGTTCCATTGTAAATGTGCTCTTTGCTACTACTACTACAACAACACTGACTTTGACTGTATCAAACCGACAAGCCCGAACCCTGTTTCCAGCCTATTGAATCAAATCGAAGCGGTCACGTGACTGTGCGCCGGAACGAAGCTTCGGACGTCACTGATCACGTGATCAGCAGCGAACGAACCGAGCACAGATACATTTGCTTCGGCTTGCACTGGTTCATATTTCGACACAAGCTTCGAAGCAGGAGGGTCGGAGGTAACAACACTAGTGGATGCTGTCTGATGGCTAACCCTAGTGTGGTCACAGGTAAATGCCAGCGACATTACTCAGAACGAGGGGCTTGGCTAATTGTTGGAATGCATTAATCATTCCAAGTATTGTTCTTCGAATCTTTATTCTGCCTTCTTCTTCTTCTTCTATTTGTTCCGTCGCACCTTTCAACTCCTTCACACTTTTAGCTATTAAAACTGTTCAAATTTTCAAATATTCAGCTCCTTTCTGGCTTTCCAGCTATGACTTTTCAGTATTCTACCTCTTATGCTTGAATTTATATAAATCAATAATCATCAATATTTTAACATGGTTTTCCAATGGAGATCGTTTTCAAATCCTCTTAAACTTCTTCAACTTTCAGATTTTTCAGGCTCAACTATTTTACGAAAAAAACTGCTTGTTGATATCTATTTCTACTTTTTTCATAATCACTGATTATGTTTCACTAGTTCTTCGCTCTGTTGCGTTTCTTAGAGTGAGACCTGGAAATGCTAGAGTGTGGGGCAGCGTCAAAATCTGGTTAAAAAAATATGGAACTTCGGTCCTCAGAGCCAAAGTATACACTTTTAAGGCTTCATTCTTAGCTTAACGTGCTGGCATGGTTGTGCTGCTTGTAGTCATGTGGTTATGGAATCCCAGAGTTCTTTAGTTTTGGCTCTGCTAAAAGCCCCATAGGCTCCAATACAAATCTGCCGACATATTTCTCAAAAAATCCAGAAGGTACACGTTTTGTAAACTGCGGTAGGAGCCGTATTTATTACCGGACAGACATAAAAAACGCATCCGTGCGTTCGGTAGAGTTTTGGGTCTCGTAAAAACGTTGTATTTTTTAGATAGCTGT